TTAGGAGTAAGAAACATCATGCAGAAAGTAGTATATTAATAAATTTATCCGTCTTGTGAGATAAGTAACAAGGCCACTAAGCATTATTTTAAAGAAAATATGGATATAACAACACTAAAAGACTTGCTGGAATTGTAAGAACAGTCAAGCCAGTGCCTTGTAAGCGACAGTATTTATAACATTTTTACATGCTTTCTTCTGACTTACACTGGGAGACAGGGCTCCATGCCAGGGAGGATAGTTTTTTGATTCCCACCATGTTGTAGAAGTAAGAGAAGGGCTCTGCAGGCGACTGGCCAGAAGTGGTGGTTCTTATGTAGGGTAAAGGAAGAAAGCTTTGCTTGGAAATCTCTCCCGAAGCATTACTGCTGTGGTTATTTGAGAGATAATTTGAAAGTTGGGATATTTGAAATAAAGTGCCTCCTTTTGGCAACTCTTTTGGCTTCAATAACATGGCTAGCCACTCCAGAACTTGATATTTTTGAAGGTGCTTTTGGAAAAGAATAATAGCAAAGAATTAACTTAGAAAAGGATTTCTAATTTTCATAGTAGCATACTTTATCCTTTTTGGCTTAAACAGACTTGTGAGTCTTGCTTCTACATTAAGTTAATGCATATTTTTGGTGTTCAAGTTACCTGCAAACTTGCTAGCAATACTTTAAGGAACTAAAAATGTTCTGCTCTGAATCCAAAGTCTACGTTTTTATTGTAATTCACCAAATGTAAGAATTTTTTCTTTCTAGCTCGTGTGATAGATGTGTCAAATGGAAAGATAGATGTGGCAGAAAGCTGCTTAGAAGAAACAGGTGGTCTGGGAGTGGATATTGTTCTAGACGCTGGAGGTATGTAAATCATGAAAATCTGGTCTTCAGAGAACCATATTCATGGGTTTTTAATGTATTATTTCCAAATAATATAGGTGGAGGCCGCATCACCTCAATTCCATTTAGTTGTTTGTTCCCATGCAATTTCGTGTATGTATCTTTGCTCAGTCTCCTTAAGCAATCTTCAAGAAAGAAAGAAAATCTTTAAGAAATCTTTAAGATTTCCTCATACCACCCTCTAGCGGAAGCATCTAGTACTGTTAGTCATCTGCTGGATTCGTCTGCAATTTTCCTCTTTTTAAAACTTAAAAGAAGAAAATGTGTTTAGAGTAGATATGTGAGATCATTGTTTATGCTACCTTATTTGAATACAGAAATTATGCCTTAATCACCAGTAATTTCAACCTGTAATTCTAAAACTATATTCATAATTGAAAACTCTGAAGTTACTCTTTTTAGCTGAAATAATTAAAGAACTTCTTGGAGTTCTACTAAAATGTGTTAAAAGAAGTAGATACTGAATTTTCTAAATCTTGTAGCTTCTCAGATATTCTCACATGACTAACAGTATTATTGAATTGTTCCAGACAGCCATCTTTCATTCTGTGCATTCAAATGCATATATTGTAACTTGCTTGTATCTGAAGACCAAGGACTGCAATAGATTCCACAGTATGTGCTTTTCAGTACAGGAAGAGATGGGTGTTTCATTCTGCACAGAATTTTCTTCTGAGCTCAAATGAATCTGTTCTTTTCTCCCCTTCCCCACCTTCAGTGAAATTATATAGCACTGAAGATGAATCAACTTCAAAATCACAGTTGCTGCCTCATAAGCATGATATTATTACTCTTCTTGGTGTTGGGGGACACTGGATAACAACAGAAAAAAATCTTCAGGTAAAGATACTGTGGCAGTAAGTTAGTTTGTACCCCGTATATACATATGGCTCTGTCTGTGAACTTCTGGCATGGCTGAATGTTTCCCCACTGTTAAATAACATCAGTTATCACTTACAAAAACTTTCTCATCCAGAAAATAGGAAACGTGCAGCTTCAATAGTAAATGTTTTTATTTTCCTTTGGGACAATTTTGGGGTTGTCAGCTCTAAGAGGACAGTAAGTTATGTTAATAGCGTGGCTATGCTGACAAATTTGAAAGGATCCGTTTTGTTTGCCTCAGGGTGTTGACCTGTTTGATAAAACAGAGAAGTATCATTTAAAACTCTAAATATTACAAGTTTGCTAAGTTCTAAGAATGGCAAGGACTGGGTTTTTGTTTGTTAATTGTCAATATAAAATAACCATTTAACTGTTATTCTTTATAGGAAAATAAAACTAAATGACATTTTTATTCATTTTGTTTAAGCTGGATCCTCCAGATAGCCATTCCTTGTTTCTTAAAGGAGCCACAGTCTCTTTTCTGAATGATGAGATATGGAACTTGTCTAATATACAGCAAGGGAAGTATCTCTATATCCTTTTGATGGTCGTTTTGAATACTCACTGCTAATACAAATGGATGGAAATAAAGTCAAGAAACCAACTAGTAGATTCTCTTCCACTCAGTCTTGTAACGAGAGTTTTAAAGGTCAGCACAGCTAAGCATACAGTATAACTAAAATATGACATACACTACTCATGTTCTAAGCTAGTTTATGCATTCCTTGGAAGTATATGTCTCTACATGTTTCATTAAAAGCAGTGTTGAAATAGAAAACACATATTCTGGAGAAAATGCAACATCTTGGTTCAAGATTGAACCAATTAAGAAGATTTGATTCTCTAAGTTTTTTATCATGCATATCACATTTTTGACATTTTCTTTGTTATTTTAGGCAGTAGTTGCATCATCTGTAAATCTCAATGCAATCAGTTTGACAGTAAAAGTTAAAATATTTTGGCTTCCTAGCCTTTTTCTTACTTGCAATGTTATGTACATACAATTTATTGAGCAAAGATGTGGATGTGGGAAGAGGGATGCCTCCTTCGTTTGCCTTACCTACATTTGGTCTTAAGCAGCTGGACTCTGAGCTTTCTACTAGCATGACAGTTTTCAGGGGATCACTTCAAGTAACGGAAAGATGGTCTGTTTATGGCTTTAAGGACCCTCCCTGTTCTGTACTGCACTGCAGATTATGAGATCTGCTGAATCACTTTTGCAGTTTAGCAGAACAGCAGAGGCAGGTGAGGATTAAGTCATTATATCTGTGAAACAACCAACTGTACTGCAAGGAAGTCCTCCCCTCCTCCACTAAACTGCAAAGTAGATTAGGCAAGGTCAGTCACACTAAGGAAATATTTATGGGCTGCAGTTTAACATGAATGGTTTTATACTTCATTTTTGTTGTTGTTGACTGCTTACTGAGTAGTTCTCTAAATAATAAGCCAACTAAACAGTAAGGTTTCTTCTGTCATCTCCTGGAGTGTGTTTAATACCAGCACATTTTAACACAACAGGCTTTAAAAGTTGAAAGGAAAGATCTGCAGTTTTTTGTATCTGTATATCTTGTGAAATTCTTAACTATATGGTATTAATATCATCTGAAGAAATCACAAGGTGATTGCTTTCTAAAATGTCTTGAGCTTTGAATATTAACCGTTCTTATTGATTAATGTTGTGCTCATGTGGGCTACATTTTCAATCTTAACTTTTTTGATTTTATGTTTTTTTCTTTTCAGAATTCCTTTTTCCATGTTTCTTCTCTGCATGCTATTTCAGGAAAGGAGGCTTCTGATATATAAACAAGTAGCATAAATGCAATCTAAATATTGTATTTAATGTTCATTTTGCCTTGATCCTCTTGGTTTTGTATAACATTGTTACCTTGACAGTCCTCTTAGATACCCATCTTAGAAGATATAATGGAGAAATTATCAAGTAGCATTTTCAGGTAAGAGATGTGTAAGGTTTTTTTGTCTGTTGGTTGGTTGGTTTTAATCAGCATTAAAAGTAGAAAACTCTTGTCAGCACTGTACTGCAAGTCTAAATTGGGATGTTCAGAAAAGGTGCCTCACATAGTTTATACCAAGCAGTTTATGGTCCTATTTCTATTTGTAAGGTGACAGGCTGAGCAAAAGGCAACTTGGTAAACCCCACAATTAAGCTGTATGTTAAAACTTACCAGAGGCAGCACATTCTTGGGGGAGAAAGAGCATGTAACTGGTTGCTCAGCAGTGTGTCTGACTGAGAAATGGTGTTGGCTGTAAAACATTAGGTCTGTGTAATAATCATCTGAGAAGAGTGGCAGTTTCACTAGACATGGAGACTCCGATAAAGAAGTGGGAAAGGAAGATCCTTTCTCTTAATACAGGATAGCAGTATTGTTGTTGAGCAAGAGCCTCAGCACCACTTCTCCCCCCATGAAGGATATATTTTTATTAACTTCTGTTTCCTGTTTGTTTTAGTGCTGAACCCTTCCTCTGTCAACACAAGCAAAGCTATAGAACTTTTATTTTGTTTAAAGAGTAAAGTTTACAGAGTGAAAGTAAAGTCTATAGCTGTAGTCCTGCAATATTTCTGTTGATCTGAGCATGCTCAGCAGACATTTGACATACTGTTCCATTTTAGGCCTCAGCTGGATGAACCGATCCCATTGTATGAAGCCAAAGTTTCTATGGAAATAGTTCAGAAGAATCAAGCAAGAAAAAGACAAGTCATCCAGTTCTGACACACAATTTCCTGAATTCTAAGCCTGTGGAAGATAAAGAAACGTAAGGTATTTGAAAAGTAAATTAGTGTACACTTTAAAATAATTCTGTAAGCAGAATTTAAAGATCTTTTGTGCCTCAGCACAAATGGTCTGTGAAGCTCCTGTGTCTTCCAGAATTTTTTGTATGCAGTTGAGCAGAATGTTCCCAGCAGCCACTTCTAAAGAGGTTATCTTGACACACAAATCTTGTCTGCCCTGCCCCGATTACAAATGTCAGTAGCATCTACAGGCAAACTCAGTTGCTGTTCGTTTTCAATCATAAGAAATTAAAGAAAAAAAAAAGTGTTTTTGTTTTTTTTTTATTAGTCCTCCTTCCTCCAGCCCCTACCAATAGTCACCTTTAGATTACCTTTTCCTTTTGACTGCATTGAAACTGAGCACTCTCTGCAGTACACTGAAGTCTTTAATCCACACATTAAATTTGTATTCAATTAGAAGACAGGCAAAACCCTCAGAATTGGCAAGGATGCTAGAGGGGAAGGGCATGGCACCGACAGTAAGAGTTACAGCTGATACTGTTCATTTTAGCCTCAGGCAGTAAATCCAGAGTCCGTAAGCTGATTGTGTCATCCAGATGTTTGAGGCTCTTTGTGTGTCTTGTTACTGTAATGTTATCATAGAATCCTAGAATCACAGAATGCCAGGTTGGAAGGGACCTCAAGGATCATCTGGTCCAACCTTTCTAGGTACTACTCTAGTTTATTTGAGATGGCTCAGCATCCTGTCAAGCTGAGACTTAAAACTGTCCAATGTGGAGGCATCTACCACTTCCCCTGGGAGACCATCTGGTATCTTTCCAGTAAGACCTTTCCATGCTGTGCACTTTCACTTCCTCTCTTTTAACTGCAGTCCTTTGCCTTGCACAGCTCGAATCTGTTTATCCAGCATCCTCCATGACTGTGAACCATCTGCAAATCAGAAGTAAGGAAGGAACTGCTGTTCTTTCTTCAAAGGGTCTGGCCTCCTACCTGCTCTTATTTGAGTGCAATTTTTTTTTTCCTGTTCAACTGTGCTATTCATTTTCACTGTGTGAATATCTCAAAGAGTGAAACACTTTAAATTAGTGTAAGAAATGGGAACATTTGAAATAATAAAGATTATCTGGAACCATGATTAATCTCCTGTCATTCATTGGACTTGTAGAAAGTTCTTGATCAGTGATGCAAGGGAAGCATATAAAAGTACAACTGATGTGATATAGTGCAGCCTTGAAAATAAGTTATGCTTTATGCATGTGTGTACATGCACATGTAAAGCGTGTGAATCCTCTGTTAGTTTGACATCTGTTCTGAAGCTTTGTACCCAAGTGCTCTTTTTTCCTGGTGTTGTTCATTTTAGCTTCAATGTTGCAAAATAAAATAGAGGAAACTGAGAGTTAAGAAATAAGGTTTACTAAAACAGGAACAAGCACTGACAAAACTGCAGAAGAAAAATGTTATAGTTTAGGTTTTATTTTACTAGCTCATTTGCCAGTAGGTATGTTGCTCATATCTACATAAATAAGTAGCTTTGAACCTCAGATACAACAGACTAAGGCTAGCTGTTGCTGAAGTGGGCTCAGTCTTTCAGCTGGACCAGGTCTCTTTGAGTGTTAAGCTGCCTCTTGGTGCATTTAGTTGGCTGAGGTGTCAGCAACTTTCCAAAACTTCAGTAATGCTAGGTTTAGGTTTGTATGTGCTTGGACAAGAGGGTTTATGAGGCTCCCTAAGCAATTGTTATCAATTGTCTTTGATACATCCCCTGACAGAAGAAAGCAGAAACTAGTGGTGAGTGCAGGAGCAAGGCTCTCCAGCTCTGGTGGGGAAGGCTGCCAGGTGCTCACCTGTTCCTCTCTGTCTTTGACCAGAAAGTAGCTTGTGCTTCACTCCTACCTGTAGGCTGACCTGACAGCCCTGTGCAGCCTGGGCTCCCGTCGTGCCAGTAACCACGAGAGGCAGGAGCAGCGCCAGCCCAGGCTCCTGCCCACGTTTTGCCCGGGATGGTTCCCGGGCGAGCTGCAGCCCCGGGCAGCCAGACACGGTGTGTGGATGATGTGCGGGCCCCTGCGTCGCTTCATTTACCGGCCTTCAGAGCTGTGCCTTGGCAAGGATCGCTTGCCCATTCCCGGTGCAGCGATAGGTGCCTTCCTGCAGCCCCCTCCGGGCGAAAACACTCCAGGTACGGGGGGGCTGCAGGCAGTGCCGCAACTCACCATCAAAACTCCCTTCCTACCCCAAATACGTACAGATCGTTTTGGGGTTTTTCTGTCCGGGTGCGGCCAGGTAGGGATTTCCTTCCTGCAGGAACGCGCTCAGCCTGGCTGCGGCGGGGGCTGAGAAATCCCTTGCGACTGCCCCTGTTTGTTTCCCAGCCGGGAGCGGG